ACCTTCCTTAAAAATAATTATGTACCTATATATCAGCGTGTAATTATTAGTAACGCGTCAAAACAAAACATTTATCATGGATTAAGGCTGTTATTTACTATCAGTAATCACCACAACCGACATTGGTGATATAAGTGGTTATTACAAAGTTATTATTAGTCGACAAATAACATGAATTCTGGACATGTATGTCAAAAATTTAGACTGGTTATTAACGTGGTATTCTTCATAGATAGCGCTGTCCTTGAACCTTTTTGACAATTATATACATTATTTTTTGTTATGTATAGTAACAGTGGAAATTATTTGACAAAAAAACTAAATACTATGATATTCTTTTGAGTCGTGGAAGCTCGGAGGTTAAGACTCATTGTCGTTCTCATGCATGAGAGTGCGGGTTTGAAAGCTGGCAAGTACCAATGCGACATTATCCGAGTTATATTATGTACTTTATATAATTATTTTGAAACCACTGACATGCGGCGAAGTAAAACATCGTGAGGAAACCTAGATTTTCTACTTATAAGTTTAAAATCGCCAAATTTCCTTGAACAAACCTTCTCCGTATGAGATGATACCTTTGCTTAGCAGTGGCTACTTATAGGCTGATTATGTGATTGACCAAAAATTGTGACTTAGGTGTTGCTGGTGTTCCTTAGCGGTGCTGATCGCTTATAATCTGGTGCCAAACCGTTTGCTTCTATTTTAATCATTTTTTTTAATAAATCCACCACAATCTATTGCTGAAGAATCTTAATAATCATAAAATAATAATAATTCCAACTAAGGAGTATGTCTTTTTCAAAACTTGCTAAAAATACTTTACTTGTTGCAGTGATCAAATTCGAAACTGCACGTCGACTCTATAAAATTTGTTTGATTTTGAATCTTGTTCGAGTGCGAAGTGAGTGTCGAAGTGACGGGGTAATTAAATTTTAGAATGCCACTTTTAACGTCATCACATACTTTATCTATCAAAATGTTGCTGTCAATTTAGTTCAACTCGCAAGTGTAGCGCTAGTGTACTGCTACTCACGGCGGATTCAGATTCGAAGTTTAGAATGAAGTCTTACAGAATCACACCCCTGATGACTAGGCAATCACGCTTCAACGAAACCAAAGGACCAGTCAAATCTTACAAAACTATATTTTTATTAAGTATTAAAATATTACAATAATCTATAGCGCAAAAATTTATGTCATTCAGCATACAAGAGAGAAGTTAATTAGATTACATAAATTTCAATTAAAACGCAATTTTAGTCAATAATGCGTTTCCTTAATAATGTCTTTATTATACACTCTGTGGTGTTTAAAAACGTAATTGAGTTTTTAATTAGATATAAACAAAAAAAAATGAATGTAGGTATTTTGATATTTTCGTTCGTTGCTATATCGTGAAGGTTTTAAAATATAAATCAGAGCTTATCTTTGTTATTAGAATATACATTTTGAAGGCACATTTTCAAAATTACACGAACAGCGTAAAATCAATTTTACATTTCAATCGTTCCAGTTCATAATCAGAACAAATTTATTTTGATTAACATTTATTTATGGTAGCATAACTGAAATAGTTGCAATTGGAGTTATTCATTAATTGTATTATTTTCTTGTTAAGTAAATTCAAATATTTTTAAAAGGATTAATCCGTGAGAGAATTAATTTTAACCTATTATATAATATTCATATAGTAATAACTAGACCGACTTGTTAGTTTGTTTATTTACATTTTTTTAAATATGGCCGTTATCTCGTGTGCCGTGGGCACGTTTAGAAACATACATTTGTTTTAAGAAGTACCTTTACTCGAGAAGCATTACCATGGCCACATAAAAATACATACACAAACATGTTGACGACACAGACAACCTCAAAACCAGGAGACATCGTTTTCTGTTGTCTGAACGAGAGCCTTTTGGGAGTCAGGTTTTTAAGAACTAGGATTGGAGAGTAACGATTAAGGATTGGAGATTGAGAAATGAGATTTGGGACTGGGAGAGGGGGGGGGGGGGGGCAATTGGGTCTCAAGCAACTTTACTCCCACGGAAATATACGACGCGACATTTCTTTTTCGCCAGTTTTACATGAGACCGTAGTATAACTCTACCACGCTTAAAACTTCCAACAACTTTACGTACAAACAACTTACCTCATTTGGAAAAAACACGCATACACACAAACATGTCCTCAAAACAAATCGACGAGAGCACTTACCACTTATTTTATCGATATCGATAAATATCCCATTCCGCTATCGGTTCAAACAGAATGCCTCTTAACACATAAATAATCTTTACATGAAATTCGAAGTCGTTCGCAATAACTTATTGGGTTTTAAGATAGCAAAAGTTATATTTGCAAGGAACGATAAATCGGTTAAGATTAATCGTAATGGGATCTAAGATTAAAAGGTTCCGCTTAACGGAACGACACGATTTAGTCAACGAGTTATGTGTCTTCCAGGAAACTAGATCCTGGATAAATGTTTGATGGTTTAAGCTGAAAATATATTTGCAACTTAAGCACCAAGCGTTTTGTTATTCAATGTGTTAACATAGGTAAAATACACAAATTTCTTACTTTAAAAGAAATAGTGGAATAAATAATACCTAATAAAGAAAGTCAAGGTCATCGCAGGTCTTTAGGAAGTGTTATCCCAGACGTTTCTTAGATCCACGAAAAACAAAGTCGATGACATATGTACTCTAGCGGATTAGAAAGCTGAAGTGGCAGTTGGGTAAAAAACCAACAGACGTTAGGATAAAAGAGTTCTAAAATAGAAGCCACAATGGGCAAGCAGCGCAGAACGTCCATCCACACATTTCTAGATGTCGGAGAGCCAAGCTTCGGCACGAATGGGTCGGCTCGACCGGAGTGATACCACCGCCTCACAGAATACCGGCGTGAAACAACAACAGCGTTGTGTTTCGCCGTGTGACTGAGGTTACCTGAGGCCCAATCCTGCCCTTTCCCCTATCCCTTCCATCCCTTATATCCGCAACCCTTATCCCCAAAAGGCCGGCAACGCATTCGTAACTCTTTTGGTGTTGCGGGTGTCCATGGGCGGCGCCTATTGCCTACCATCAGATAATCCGTTTGCTCGTTTGCCGATTTATACCAAAAAAAAAAATTCAAGTTGGACTAACGACCTGATGAAAGAAGTTTCTGGATAGTTTCTGAATGTAGGTAGTTACTAAACTGCTGATCTGAAAGTCCTTGGGAAAGATCTAATTCAATTATAATGATGATAAAAATAAAAAATAAAATCAACCTATAATTTTGTGTATGGAATATTTCTTGTCCACATCAGCTATTATTATATTACGGCCTTTTAATCCGGGTCGGCAGGTGCGAATGCTGAGCAAGGGGTCTTGGGTTCCATCCCTAGTTAAAGTATGAATACCATTGACTTTGCAATTTCGAAACTATCAGAAACAGGCACGAAGTCGCACGTACTTTATCTATACTCATATTATAAATAGGTATAAGTAAGTTTGTATGTAGGAGGTAATCTTTGGAACAATTCTTTCACTGATAGATAGCTACAATGTTCCTGAGTGTTATAGGCCATACAAATTCACGTTACGATCAAATGGAGCCGAGCAGAGGGTGAAAGCGCGTCAGAGTAGCTAGTAATAACTCCAACCAATGATAATCTCCTTGAATACGATAGTTTTTATAACTGTAACGTACTTAAAGACGTACATACATTTCAAACTAAACTGAGAACTATAAAAATGATATAAAATCATAGTAATGACTCCATTTGTCATGATTTAGCGTTATCTGAGATATTTCTACGTAATGGTCTCCTGGCGGTTCCGGGGTCATAAAAAGGTCATCTCAGAAGCAGATGTGGGACTTTTTGTACTTATTATTGAGAGCTGATAGCTATTGATCCAGTTGAAGATATTAAAGATCATTTATTTAATTGTATGTGTTTGTAACAGAAAACTGTAATTATCGTGGTGTTGCGTTGTAGTTGTGTGGTTGGGGAAGGGAAGAAGGACCATGCGGGGGCGGGGTAGCCTCACTCAACAACGGCACATGACGATTTAGTGATTTCACGCCGGTCTCGTGGTGTGAGGCCGTAGTATCACTCCGGTTGAGTCAAACATGCGTGCCAAAGCATAACACTCCCACACCTACAAAATTGTTTGATACTAGCATTTAGAAAAGGAGATAACAATAGAAAAAGGGACATGACATCAAAAATATATAAATTATATACGTATTCATACAATATACGTGCGAAAACTTAAATAAATTAATATCCCTTTTAACATTTCCAGAAAATCCTCACATATGTATATACATAATGTTTATATATTTATATACTACCAATTAACCGTCGGCCGTCTCCCAATTTTTCATCAAACCACCTCGAACCCGTGTACCATCCAAGACGGTTCGTTAGGCGTCAGTTTAACGAAGCGTTCAGTACGTGAGCAATGGAGGTATTTAACAAAATATATAATTCCTGCTCAATTGATGACTCAAGCTTTGGATGTGGGATTCTTAATTAAAGGAGACAGTTTTTCTTTTCGATAAAAGGGTTTTTTTTTGTTTTGGACTCTGTAACAAGGAAATAATGAATTTATTTTTGCAAATAGGTCAAATTATATGTTTAAAAACTAGATGAAGCCGGCATTTCCTATTTGACTACTCTGTCAGTATCTTTTCAAGTCCATACAAAGAAACTCTTTATTAAGAATAGTGGCAATTGCTTCACGGTTGGCGTAGTAGCTGGGAAACTGGCTGCTGTGCAACATGTCGCGGATGCATGGACAACACTCTGTGTGATCCACAAATTATTGTATCGGGTCTAAGTGGGTAGATGTTATGAGTGGGGTGGATTGGCAATTTCAACAACATTACAACATTACAATTGTTTAGACTAGCAGAATGTCAGTCCTTGTAACAGCTTGGAGTTGTCATGCTCACTGAAAGGTCACACTGGCGGTGGCTGGGCGCTGGATCGCTTAATTCCCTATAATATGGTTGAGTTGGGCGATGCTGGTGTACGTGTCATGTTCGTGAACGGGCGCCGTCAGTTGGGACTGGTCAGCTCCGGACTGTCTATTGTCCTTAAGGTTACTTTATTTTTATATTTGAATAAATATTAGTGTTACACTGTTCTCACATCATTGAACCAACAGTTTGTAAAAGGAAGCTGTATGTGAAGCTGATTTAAAAAGAGTAACCATGGAGTTTCTTGCTCGTTCTTCTCCATCGGAATCTACACTTTGGAACGAGCAAATAGCTTCACTAAGAGGACTGACCGACAGACTGACACTATATCTTCAAAATTTTTGTTTGACGTTCAAAAGTGCCTGTAAGGGTCTAATTGGAATAAATGATTTTTGTTTTTTTTTTTCAAACCTATTATGAGAGGTATTTTTTGAGGTTACCGGACGCCCAATCCTTCTCCTCCCTCAATCTCTCCTCAATATTTAAACCTCCAAAACCCTAATCCCCAAAAGGTCGGCAACGTACTCGTAACTCTTTCGTTGTTCCCATCTGTCAGTATGACCGTTTGCAGTCGCATCACATAAAAAATATATTTATCCAAAATTCCTCCCGATATTTAACCGCGTGTCAGTAATGTCTAAATAATCCTAGAAAGTACAATACGTATCTTGATGAGTCTGAAGTTAGCCCATTAGCTGCGCAGTACATAATTTTGTTCCTAAAAGATCCATTGCGCAGACGAACGGCTAACTTCAGACTCGCCAAGATACGTCGGCCGTACTGTACTTATAACTTGAAATAAGTCACATTAGTACTTGCTAGGTTCCAAATCCACGACCTAATGCATTACACGCGAGCACTAGCCTATCCTTTTAGCCCACCACGACTTAACATTGAAATTAATAAAATCAATTTACAAACCCTAAATCTAGTCTTGGGAGGTAATTAAGAAAAAAACAAAAATATTTTTAAAATTTACGAACTAATACAATATGCATAATTTCTAGTCAATTTTGTATTCATAAAACAGCGTGGCCGGTTACTTTGGCATCCTTACACCTGCTCATTATGAATAATTTAATTATTTTTACGCTAATTTTGTTGGAAGAATTATTAAAATCTCAAGTATTAGGTATTTAAGCCTACCTTACTGGTCCATTGTTTCGCAGAATTTTTAATAACTTACAAATTAGTGTAGCCTAAATAATTTTACCGGATTATCTTGTCTGTCGTTTTATTTATACCTAAGTTATCGAATTAACTTTAGCACTTGAATTTTCTCTCTCATCACGGCTTTTGGAAACAGACACAATTTGTAAGATTAGAACATTAACGAAGTATAATTAGATCTCGAAATTTTCTCTACTAATATAGTTTAAATGTCAGAGAGCCTTGCTGCGGCACGAATGGGTCTGCTCGACTGGAGTGATACCACGGCCTCACAGAAAACTGGCGTAAAACAACCACAGCGTCGTTGTCTTTCGTCGTGTGAGTGATGTTACCGGAAGCCCAAACCTACCCCTCCTATCATGCCCCCTAATCCGTAAATCTCCAAAAAGCTGACAATGCATCATCGTAACAGTTTTGGTGCTACACCAAATGACCCAACCCATGACATGGGCGTCGGAAGCTACGATTGCTTACCATCAGATAATCCGTCTATTCGTTTGTCTTCCTATCATATAAAAAACTACTGTTTCGCAAAACAATTAGTTTTGTGTTTATCATACATTTATCGAAGCAGACTATAAGCTGTAAAACATTACACTACGACCAATCAGAGCCGAGGCATTAGTAGCTAGTTAAATACCTGTAAAATTACCATTCAACCGCTTACAAAATTGACTTGATCACGTATAACATGAATATTCACAGCCCCATGATAGTTCAACGCTGAACTCTTCTAAATAAGAGGGATTTGCAAAAATCTTTATGCTTGGCAAACGAGTTTGAGATCGTAGTTCAAAAGGTTCAGGTTTATCAAAGAGCAGTACTGACAGTTACTGTTTGGTCTCTTTTAACAGTATAGTTCTTAAAATAAAAGGTAATAACTATACTGCCGTAAAATTTGTAAGTCTGTATGTAGGGGGTAATCTTTGGAAACGCTGTGCTGCACGTCGATTCTATAAAATTTGTTTGATTTTGAATCGTGTTCGAGTGCGAAGTAGCGTCGAAGTGACGGGGAAATTAAATTTTAGAATGCCACTTTTAACGTCATTGCATACTTTATCTTTCAAAATGATGCTGTCAATTTAGTTCAACTCGCAAGTGTAGCGCTAGTGTACTACTACTCACGGCGGATTCAGATTCGAAGTTTAGAATGAATTCTTACAGAATCACACTGCTGGTCGGATTGCCAAAATTCTTTCACTGATAGATAGCTACAATGCTCCTGAGTGCTATATAGGCTATAAAACATCACGCTACGATCAAATGGAGTTGAGCAGCGGGTAAAACCGCGCGAGAGTAGCTAGGCTCCGCTCGCTTGGATGTTGATTTTACACTTTTTCATATTTTTCATAATTTTCTATACGTACAAACCTTTTCTGGACTGCTACAAATAATTAAAGACAAATAATTATAATAAATATAATTAAACAAAATTAGCGAAATTGGTAAAGGCATTGTTGAGTAATAATATTACAACGAAAAGTTTCATTGATTTTTATATACATATTTATTTAAATATGCCTCATGCCAGTTTTAAAGTCATTCACCTCTTCACAGAATAGCCTGCTAAAAGCACTTTTCATTTTAACATGTTCAAACCCGAACAATAACCCAGCGAAGGAACACCCAATCAATTTCATAATATTAATATGAGGCAATCTACATTTACCTACGTAGGTACTATGAGCTCAGTAAATTTTGCTGTTAGCTCTAGTACATTATATAAATCATGTTATATATATATATACATCGAATCAGTTATTTATTGCCCGGAGATTATCGAGTATCGTCAGGCAGCAGGCTTAGTGCGCTGTAGTCGACTGTTGCTAACGAGCTGTAGCGTTTTGCCCTAGCTTTATAATGTATATACTGTCAATTAGGTGTAGAGTGCATTGACGTGGAATTTAAGTAATGATGCTCTCAATTCGAATAATTTAGGGGTATTTTTGTATAATGGTGGATGGGTGTATGAAAATTGTGTTTGACAGACAGAACGTATTTCGATACTATAATTATTTTCTATAGACCCGCTTCGGCTTCCCACGCGTGCAATGTCGTAATTATAGCAAATTGCGACCCTTTTTAATGGTTGTTGTTAATAAAACGTTCCTCTTCAACCATTCTATTTATTGAAAACACCGCATCAAAATCCGTTGCGTAGTTTTAAAGATTTAAGTCCACATTAGGGACAGAGAAAACGACTTTGTTTTATATGTCGGAGCGACGATTATTGAAATTGAATTTTGAAGGAGGTTTTATCACAATTCATCGGACGAGGGTACCATAAATCGTACTCTGGCGGAACGTCAAACTGGCAGTTCTGCGTGCGCATTGGTGGAGAGCGAGCGCTGTGACTGTCATAGGAGACGGATCGCCGACGTCCGTTATTTTTGTAATTTATTCGGTCTGATTATAAAATCCTACGCCCTGCGATGGACTGTGAAGACGATGATCAGGATGTTGATGTTTGTACCAACCCCCCGGTGCCTTCATATACTATGGTGTAATTTATTCTAGGTGATTTATGAGTTTGAAATCGTCAATCTGCAACACAAAGGTCAGCATAGCACTCGTAACTCCTCGATTATGTATGTATGCTTAAATCTTTAAAACTACGCAACTGACTGTGGTGCAGTTTTTTTAATAGATAGAGTGATTGTACGGGAAGATTTATATGTATAATAATATCCATAAAATAGTGAATAAATTTAGTGTTAGCATTGCATCCGTGTCGCTAGTGAAATTGTAAGTCAAATTTTCTCAAACTTCGTACCTTTATCAATAAAACTCAATTATTCTTTAGCCATTAAATTTAGTATAATAAATTAGATACAAATAATTTGAGTATGTTACATACTTTTTTATTTACTTAAACTAATATCTCATAAAGTCAGTCACATCGCCCAGTACCTAAAATTAAAAGTATAAATAAACTCCAGAAAATCAAATTGGTATATTCTTCTTCCTCTTTTACTAATGGTCTATTTAGTAACGAAATCAAATACCATACTGATTGTCCTGGCCATGAAGGAGTGATGTCTCAGCCGCCAGCTAACGAGACTGATCGTCTGATCTCATGTCTGTTGTGCTGCTTCGTAATTTAGGTTGGGGCCTCGTCGACAGCGATGTGATGTGGAATAAAGTTGTAATTAAATTGAGAGGACAAAATTACATAGTGTATGTAACACAATCTTTTATTCAGTACTGGTGTAGTGTGAATGAAGTTTGACATATCCAAGTAATTTGTGTCTAACTTCAACTAGCCAGGCACTACTCTAGACCTTATTTTTATGATGCGTAGAACCCATATCTATAGTTATATTATAAATAGGTACAATTTGTAAGTTTGTATGTAGAGGGTAATCGTTGGAACCGCTCTGCTCGGATTTCCAAAATTCTTTCACTAATAGATATCAGTCTATACAATATTAATTATATCTTATATACATATTGCACTCTTGCAAAGCTGGGGTGAATCTCTACTAAGTAGCAAGTGTGGGAGAGTCATGCTTAAACACGAATGGACCGTCTGGATCGGAGTTCACAACCTCACAGAAAACCCACAGAACAGATAAAATTTTATCTGTTCTGTGAGAAAACCGACGTGATACAACTACAGCTTTGTGTTCCGGGCGAGATGCGAGTGAGGTTACCGGAAGCTGAAGATAGAAAGAGAGAATCAAATTGCAGTTCTCCTGCACACTTTTTAAAATTGTATCCGACAAAAAACCGAACCGCCTTGCAACTTTGCGCTTGTGTTCGAAGCTTTGAATTCGGGCCTCCATAAGCGCATCGTGTTTGATGAACCTTTGGCACCTTCTAAAGGCTTGATTTCTTAAACGAATATAAAATCATCCTGGTAGCCACCTTCAGTAAGACGCATTCAGCTCTCTTAATAGAAAACTAGAACTAAAAAGATTATAACATGCAAGCAACAGAAAAACTCTATAAAGCTTGTAACAAACATGCCATTACAAAAGCGTCTTCATCGACAAAAAACATATAAAAATCAACAAACTCATCGCTCTTAGACTAAAAAAGATTTTTCAACACAAAAGAGGCATTTTTACAAGACACATACCTGTTTTAAAAACTTGGATAGGAAACACTAAGTAGTGCTAAAGTAATTTACTTTAAACCCTTTTCTTCATACGTATCGCATTGCAAAGGCTTTCGTGTAGCCTTGTAAAAAGATTAACAGTGTACGTCAGTACTGACAACAGGTAATAAATAAAAGCTTGTATAAGCTAGACTTAAGTTAAAGTAAGCTTGTTTGAGAATACTTAATTTTGATAACGTGTGTAGGTAAATAAAGTATTCTTGGTTTTATGAAGATTACGCTTTTGCCTGCGACTTTGTTCGAGTGGAATAGTTCGTGACTTCCTGCAGATTTTTGGTTTAAAAACTATCCTATGTCCTTTCTCGAGTTTCAAATTATGGCTGTACCAAATTTTACACAAATAGATACAGTAGTTTAGACGTGAAGAAAAGACAGACAGAGTTAGTTTCGCATTTATAATATTAGTATGGATATGGATATTTTGCATTCGTATTTCGTTGATAATTAATGGTCAAATATTTATATTTATATTCTCATATCCTACCCAGTTTTTATCTATGGGTTCGCTCCCTCTTCGCTTCGCCTTACTTTCTTCTAACGTACACTATTCTATACCCTACTATATCTTACTTAGTTTACTCTGTTCTACTTTTACGTACTTCTTTTTATGAGAAGAGAATTATTAAATTACTTTTACCACCCTGGGTGGAGCGAGAGAGACTCTTACTGACTTTAAACCGCCGGGGCCAGAATACAAATATTGCGGTTGACTGGGGGTCATTCCGGTACTTACGTACCTTAACGAACTTTTTTTCATAACAACTTTCTCCTGATGCCAACAACCACAATATAGAAAGAGATCTCGAGATTCGCGCTTAGCACAAATTAAAGGATTCATTTTTACATTATAGAAGATGTATTTTGCTATTGTCAATTTTAAATATAGTTTTTTTGGCTTGAAAATTTCCCAGCCGGATTTATCCTTGCAGTTTTCTTTTTAAAAAGACAAGAGATTACAAAACGATACAAATATACCTAAACATGTCTAACCTATCCAGACATGAAAAAATGTACTCCTATTGTAATAGTAGTGCAGTAGATTGAAAAAAGGCTACTGGAGGTACTTCTATGCGAATAGTGGCAGACAGGTTTCCACGAAATCTGTTACCCTATGAAGTAAGACATAAATCGCACTAGACAATGTAATAAACACCAAACAAAAACCAACTGAGTTTTTCTTTTCCTTCGGAGTAGCACAAAAGCGATACTTGAACGGACAGCCATAAATCTAGGCCCATTGTTCCGGTACACAACAATTACAATCTATGTATCTAAGATCTAGTAATACCTACTCGCAAACTACCGGAAACTTGGCGTGACTACACAAACGGAAAGCGCAAACTGAATCGCTGTCGCCCGCTCAACGCGGACTTAATGGCCGAAAACCCATTGTTTACAACCCCATTCAAATTTCCACCTTACCACATTATTTGTAAGGTTGTATTTTCGTTTTAATATTTCACGTTACGGTGCAACGTATACAGAATGTTGATAAATACGTAGAGTTTAGATAAGGCGTTTTAAAAGGGGGGTACGGGGTGTTTCTTTTGTGTTTTTTGATGAAAAATGTTGCGGTTAAAGGGTGGTGTTTTAGAAGGCATTTTAATTGGGATATCGATCGTTTGGTCTCTGGTCCTTCCTTCAAGAGGGACAGGAGACAAATGTTAATTTAATGTTCCGTGTTTATTATGTCTGAGGACGGAACTGCTATGTTGATGATTTGTTTGAATAGATTACGTAGATCTGTTTTGTCTTGATGTACGATGGGCAGTTAGGTTATGTCAGAGGGGTTTGAAGGTTAAGCTTTTAGATATACATATATTTTCAAGGTTAGACCTATTTATGACTTAGTTACTAACGCCCGGTTCCTATAATTGAGAAACGATCCGTTTTAATTACGAATAGTAGTTTTATATACGACTCGTAAGCTAAAACCGTTCCTATAATAAACGTCTCGTCGTGCAACTTACTGACGGTTTGCAACTAACGGATATCGGTAAGCGAATTGTATGGAGATCTATGGTGTCTGTGTGTTCCTATAAATATTTTAACCGTCAGTAGACGGTCAAGATAACCATTCGTAATGTCATTTGGTCGTATTGCGTGTACAACGACGATTCGTTAAATATAGGAACCGGGCATAAGTACATGCGATTACCGTTTTGTTTCTTATGTGTGGTTGATAGTAGCAATTGAAAAGAAATCTCATTGTATTTTTTGGTTATTCCAACGGCACGTCCATTATTCTACAAAAATAATTAATATAATGTTTTAAAGATATTGTTAAATTATCAAACATTTCTACTAAAATAAATAAATAAAAATAAAAAAAGCCTTTTATTTCTTGCTACACACAATAAATGTAAACTTATAATTGAATTAAAAAAAGAACACAGTATGCATAAAATAAAACAGTTATGAGTTTTTTTTTTGTTCTCTCTTCATTAACTTCTGTCATTTGAAGGTGAAGGCTTCCTCCAGGGACAACCACTGTTGTCTGTCTTCTGCTTCTCTCATCCAGTGGGCACCTGTTACTTTTGTGATGTCATCTAGTCCATACATGATCTCCGGCCACCGTAAGCACGGGTCTGCGGTCGGCGAGTAAGGACAGCTCGCCGCCCGACCAGAACCGGGCCCAAGCGTACGGCGCATAGCTTTCCGCGCGCGCCTCAAAGAGCCAATAGACCACCACAGACGGGGCCCTAAAGGGCTGATGTTCAGCCGGGGTGGCGGGGTAAGCGCAATGAGGCACCGCGACCTCGGTCCAGAGCAAAGGAATAGGGGGGCTTTTAGTCAGTAAGAGTCTGACACTCCCTCCCGCCCGGCCCTGGGCGGGAGAAGTCATTTGACGATTTTCCCCTCACAAAAAAAAAACCTGTCCATACATATTCTACTTATGCTTATTTAAATGCATTATCCAATGTTTTGTACCAAATTCTCATTATAACATTTTTGTCCTCAGTTTCGACGTGCGCGGACGCAGCTTCAACAAAGCCCTCCATTGGTCAGACCCTCTTGCTTTTGGGAGGAGGGCTTACTTCGTCACCATGTCCAGACCATCGGCCCTCACAGTGGATGCCGTTCAGCTCGATGATGAGGGCGTCTACAGATGTAGGGTAGACTTCAAGAATTCACCTACAAGGAATTTTCAGATTAAATTAAATGTAGTCGGTAAGTATTTAAACTTAAAAAAAAAATGTTTCTATAATGCTTCATCTGCGTGGATGTCAAAGTTAATCTTTCTCACCTTTTTTTTAAGTAATAGGTCGGCAAACGAGCAGACGGATTACCTGATGGTAAGCAATCAGCGCCGCCCATGGACACCCGCAACGGAGGAGTTACGAGTGCGTTGCCGACCTTTTAGGGATTAAGGATTTGGAGATTTAGGAACTGGGGAGTGATTGGGGGCGGGGAAGGATTGGGCCTCCGGTAACCTCACTCACACGGCGAAACACAACACTGTGGTTGTTTCACGCCGGTTTTCTGGGAGGCCGTGGTATCACTCCGGTCGAGCCGACCCATTCGTGACGAAGCATGGCTCTCCCACACTTATAACCTTTTTCTGTTTTGTACTAGTGCCACCACATCAGCTGCTTCTCTATGATGAGGCTGGGCGAGATGTTGCTGGAGTGGTTGGACCTCTGGAGGAGGGAGGGAACTTCACTCTTCTCTGCGAGCTTAGAGGAGGTAAGTACCTTATAAGTTACGTTATAACTTTAAAGATAATGATTGGTGCAGGAAAAAAAACATTGGTACAATTTAATATATATACTAGCAGACCGTCAAATCGTTAGGGTCGTTCTCGAGATTACATGCTTTTTCAAGCAATCAGCGCCATCTGCCGGGCTGTAAATCTAAATAATCCAGGGCGCTACTCAAATGCAAACAGAAAAAAAAATCAAATCGACCGAGCCGTTTAGGAGGAGTTCAGTGACATACACACGTACAGTAGAATCATATAAATAAAGATATAATATATAATGATACATGTCATATTTATAGTTTTACGAGTATTTGCGTTATTGTAAATCAAATGTTGTCTGTTCTCTGCGTCTTTGTAATAAATTAACTTCTTCTTCTGTTAATAATTATTATGGGATTAAGATTGAGACCGTCCATGGAAGAACCTGACTCAAGTCTATAATATTGTAGTGACATCTACCGAACAACACGCACCAACATTACCAATCACATTCAAGTTTATACTTTACGGTATAACACTTATATGACAACCTTACGCGCTACCACGGCCGGATTCCTACTTAATACTTAGTTCAATGACCCCAAAAAACCAATTACCTACCAGTTGAAAATAGCATCAAAACTAGAGTAAACTAAAGCTGTTTTGTATGCTAGCGGTACAAGATTGGCTCTTCCAAACTCACTGCAGCTTGTTTAGCGCGGAACAGCTTAACTTTTGTCTCAACTTGAGAATTGTTGGCAATGCGTTTAGCTCACTTTAGCTGTTTCAAACAGAGCTGCTAAGATTGTAATAGAAAATCTGGTGGTTTATGAATTAATGTTGTGGAATTTGGAAAGTCAGTAATTTTATTTTATAGGCCTCTACACTAACATTTTCCTCTGATTTTGAGCGCGTTTATTCAAATTCAAATCATCTACTCGCGCGCGCGGTCAGTGCAGACGTGTTTGTTGTTTTATTTTATTTTTACCCCAAATGTGGTGAATTAGTGGACTCAATATTGACTTGGAAGTGTATAAACAATAAGTGCAACAAGTACTAAAGTGGTGTGAACGGATTTAGTGATTTTAATTAGCGAACTTAACATCGCTCCGTTCGCATAAGCCGAGGTAGGCTCCTCCTCACTTCGGGAGAAAGAGACGGGCTGCGAGAAGCAAATAATTCATCCCTGTCGCACAGCTGCGTGCACTCTGTTTGGCAAGGGGCGAGGTAGTTCCTGGAATTTTGTTTGGTTTTTCTTAGAAACCGATAAACCAATAATAATGCCAAATAACTGCGGGGCTTGCGGTGCAGCATTAACGGACTCCAATAATATGGAATGTTCAAATGAAAAATGTAAAAAAAGGTATGATTTGGAGTGTCTGGAAATAAGTACAGGCACGTTTGGGTCGTATACTCATGCTTTTAAGAAGAACTGGATCTGTCCGGAATGCGTCTGCTCAAAACCTAAAGTTGGTAACAGTGAAACTCCAATCAGGGTAAATGCTATAAAGACCGACATTAATACCTACACTACACCAATGAGCTTTGTTAGTGCTCAGCGCGGGAGCAAGGCCAACTTTACACCCACTGTTTATAGTAATGATTCTGCAGTACTAAAAGAACTGAGAGAATTCAGATCCGACATGGTGGCTCGCATGGACAGTCAGGCGCAAGCGATTACTTTTTTGTTAAACCAATTTTATCAAACCAAAACCGAGTTGGACAATGTAGTTCAGATTATGAAGGTACTCGAAGAAAAAATTGATGCCCAGCAGACTAACGACATATCACGCGATATACCTCACCATAATACTCTACCTACTTCTACATTTGCAGAAATCGTTAATCAACCTAAAACCACATCTAAGAATATTCACGTTGAAAAGGTAAATAAAGGTGGGGCCACGAAGTCGGCAGTATTAAGGGAAAATGCTTCGTACATTCCCAACTTAACAAGGGCTGATGCACCAATTGGGATTGAGGAAGAGGACAACGAATCGGACTGGAAAACGGTACAAAATAAAAAAAAAATCTACAAACCACCTAAAAATGTTAAAATTGGTACAAATACAGCTCTGAAGGGAATCCAAGCTACCGAGCGAAAAAAACACCTACATGTTTGGCGATTACATCCCGAGACTACTATTGAAGCCATAACGGAACATGTAAAATCGGTATGTGGCCCGGATTCCACTTTAAAGATTGATAAAATTAAACATAAAACGGAGAGAGATTACTCGTCGTTTATTATTGGAGTATCTGAAAGTAATTTCGATATGTTAAATCAAGCGGAGGTTTGGCCTAAGAACGCTGAATTTGATGAATGGGTTTGGTTTCGCAAACCAACCAAAAGAACAAACAATGAATAGGAATAATATTCATATATGTTATCAAAACGTACGTGGTCTTCGCACAAAGTTGGCTGAGTTCAGGAATACCATCGAGACGTTAAATTATGACTTATACGCAATAACGGAAACTGGCTGTAATCCCTCCATCGAAGATCACGAAATAATACCAACGGGGTACCAAATAATTCGGTGCGACCGAGCGGATGGAAGAAAGCAGGGCGGAGCGTTTTTAGTGGCCACACACCGGTTCGAGTTGCGGCAAGTACATGTACCTGACATTATTATTGACAATTGTGTGTTCGAAATGGTTTGTGTTACCGTTCATTTAAAAAACAGATTTTTATTCTTATGCTTAGTAATATACATTCCTCCTGGTAGTTCCGAAAATGACTACATGATTTTGTTTAGTATAATAGAAAAACTGTGCTCTAGGTACACAGAAGTTATTGTATTAGGTGATTTTAATTTACATTCGTGTCCATTAGGTATAAGTAACTACTATGAATATTTCGTGTCTTTTTGTGAATTCACTCAAAGTAATAATATACCGAATTGTTTGAATAGGCAACTGGATTTGGTATTAAGTTCAGGGATTGGCGGGAACGTGTGTGTCGAGGAGGCGGACATGCCGCTTGTACCGATCGACGCGCATCACCCGCCGCTGGCGGTAAGTGTCCAGCTCGCGTGCGTGGCTCCCGCTCCGGTCCCCGCTGTCGATAGGAACGCATCTGATTTGCGGGCAAACAATAACAGACCACAATGGAACTTTTATAAAGCGGATTATAAATTACTGTATCATAGGTTTCTTTCTATTGATTGGAATAGCATGTATGAGATGAATAATCTGAATGAAGTATTAGAGCTATTTTATGATACTATTAATGAAATTATTGATGAATGTGTTCCTAGGAAAAGACAGGTAAAAAAGTCGCGATATAGTTATCCAGTATGGTATACCCATGATATTATTAGAGACTTAAAAACCAAGTCCAGACTTCACAAAATATATAAGACAACTAAAAGTAGTAGGGATTACGAAAAATATTCTGAATATAGGTCACTTATTAAAAAATCCATTGAAACAGCTTACAAGCAGCACCAGATTAAGATTCAGTCACAGTTTGCTAAAGATCCCAAGTCCTTCTGGCAGTACATACGGTCACAGAAGGCCACGGCTACAAAAGATTCTATTATATTTAATGGTAAACATCTTTCAGATTATGAGTGTGTAGAACAGTTTGCTAAGTTTTTTGAATCGGTGTATAGCAAGCAGCCGCCACTATTAGATGCACGAGCGGCAGCGGGAGCGGGAGAGGGAAGCGGGGCGCGAGTGCACATTAATGTACTTAGTCGGAATGACGTCATTATGGCACTAGAGCACTTGAAGCCGAAACGGTCCGCAGGACCGGACGGAATACCGGCTTTTTTATTCAAAGATTGTGCTAGGGTGCTGGCAGAGCCCTTACTGTATATTTTTAATATATGTCTCGCTTCAGCGACGTTCCCTGCCCAATGGAAGATCACGCGAGTCATCCCAGTACCTAAGGGAAAGGCGGGATTGGAAATTAGTGGTTATAGACCGGTGGCGGTTCTGTCGACGCCGGCCAAAGTGTTTGAATCCGCTATCCAACGTTGCATACAGAGGCAGGTAAGTGGGCAGCTTTCGGATGCACAGCATGGATTTCGCCCGGCGCGCAGTACGGCCACTAATTTACTTAACTTTATGACAAGGGTAGTGCCGGCGGTAGATGCTGGGTTGCAAGTTGACGTTGCCTATTTCGATTTTAAGAAAGCTTTTGATACTGTTGACAATGATATTTTACTAGAGAAGCTCGCGAGAGTTGGCTGCACACCACATCTACTGCAATTCTTCTCGAGCTATTTGCGTGATAGACAGCAGTACGTTGACTATAAGGGTTGTACATCTGATCCATATTACACCCGATCAGGAGTCAGTCAAGGCAGTAATTTGGGTCCCCTTGAATTTATAATAATGATCAATGACTTGCCGGACGTCATTAGACATGGCTGCTGTTTACTGTTCGCGGATGATCTCAAGTTACTGTTAAAAATTCAAAGTGAATCAGACTGTGAGCGATTACAGGAGGACATAGACCGAGTACTGGAATGGAGTAAAAAAAACAGGCTATACTTCAACGTAGCAAAATGCTCGGTGATGAGTTTGACGCGTGCTCGAGTGCCCTTGATGTATAAATACGTGCTGGACGCGGTGCCTATGCGACGTGTCACGGAAGTGCGGGATTTGGGGGTTATGGTAACGAAGGAAATATCATTTCGCGACCATATTATAAAGATCTGCAAAAGGGCATTTAGAAACCTTGGCTTTGTTATGAGGCAGACGAGGAGCTTCACCAACATCGCAACAGTTAGGGTCCTGTATGACGCATTAGTCAGGAGTCATCTCGAACATAGTGCTGTCATATGGGATCCATATGAGGCAAAGTACAATGTAATGTTGGAACGTGTGCAGAATAAGTTCACGAGACATTTGTACTGGAAACTGTATGGGGTGTATCCGTACTACCCGCTGATGTATCCCACTCTGTTTGTGCTAGGCATGGTGGGATACAATCAACTCGGTGTACGACGAAAATTTGCCTTAGTTGCCTACTTGGTGAAGTTGCTCCGCGGTCTGGAGCATAACCCGGGAGTACTGCGTCACCTGAATATATCTGTACCAGAGCGCTACGTGTGGAGACGGCGGCGCCCGCCAATATTGGCAGTGCCAACGGCGAGGACCAACCTTCTCGCTAAAGCACCACTGACTCGCGCAATCCATATCATTAATAAGCTCCACAATCGGATTGATATATTTACAACTCCTTCGAGTGAATTCGCAAGAGCATTATTATTTATTTTAAGTTACGATAGTGAATAGTTCCTCATGTTGTATTTTTTTTTTTACATTTAATCTTAGGTTAGTTGTAGTTATTATGTAAGGTAATTTAGTAGTGTTATAAAACATAGGTTAAGATGTATATATATCGAAAGTCTCTCTTTGTTATTGCTGTTATTGTTGTTACTTTTATTATTTTTGTTTTCTTTTTGTATAATTTCTTTTTAGTACTTTGAGTTCATTTTATACTAGGTTAAGCCTCACTGTCGTATTGGGAACATAACCTGTAATGAGAGTGTAGGAAGATTTTTTGTACTAAATAAATAAATAAATAAATAAATAAAAATTGATATCACTTAAACTTCAAGTAATAATTCGGAATTCCGTCTTTTAGAATGTTTTGTATGAAGACGAAACAAAAAAAACAAAAAATATTATATAGCCATGTCTTATCTTGTGTCTGTCTGACTGCACGGTTGGCGCGGTGGCTGGGCAACTGGCTGCCGCGCAACGTGTCGCGGGTTCGATTCCCGCACGGAACAACTCTTTGTGTGATCCACAAATTGTTGTTCTGGGTCTGGGTGTGATGTGCATGTGAAATTGTATGTTTGTAAACGCACCCACAACATAGGAGAACATCCTAAAGCGGGGCAACGTTTTTTTTTTTAAAAAAAAAACACATTTTGTGGGAGAAAAGAGGAAAATCCAATTTATCGTTGTCAAACACAGGTAATCTTAGTAATCAGAATGTCAATTGGTCATGTCGGTTGGCACGGAGAATAGCCGCAATGCGCCGACCCACCGATGGGCATCAAAAGTTCAATTTTATTTTACACCTTATTTTATAAAACATATAAACTATTATTAAATGCTTGCTATTGTAGTCTGATGTTTAAAGGGGATGACGAAGAATAATTTTTAATTCCAATTTTAAATATTAGTTGAAAACACAAGGTACGTATTTATTTTTCTTTTTTTATGGGAATAAAATACTTTTGGCTATAGTCAGTGTAGTATTTCAGAAAACTGGCGTGAAACACAGCTTTGTGTTTCACCGTGTGAGTGAGGTTACCGGAGGCCCAAACCTTCGCCTCTTCCAATCTCACCCAAATCCCTAAATCTCTAAATCCCTAATCCCCAAATAGTCGGCAACGCACTTGTAACTCCTCCGTTGTTGCGGGTGTTCATGGGCGGCGCTGATTGCTTAACATCAGGTAATCCATCTGCTCGTTTGCCGACCAATCACTAAAAAAAAGTTTCCTTTCAGTTTAGCTTACAATAATTAATTTTACGATATACTTACCTACCTAATATTTGTATTTTTATTGTTAATTCAAGAGAAGTACTATTGTATCTGACGTTAATATATAATGATATCACAACGTACTATTTCATACGAGAGTCATAGAAAATTATTGTTTTTGACGTTTCTATAAAATTATTGAATGTGGCTAGTAGGAAACGTTCCTATATACTGAATCAAAATATCGTCTGACGTCACTGTTTACTGCATATTACATACTTAGACTCCGATTCATTCGTTTTAATTATTGTTTTGTAATAATTAAGTAAAAATAGGGGAAGATACGAAACTACATTATAACTATCCAACTAGCGGAAAAAACTATTTCTTTTTTAAGAAACGTTTACCTTCCCTAGAATTTTCTTCTGTGTCATGGCTGCGTTTACAAACAAACAGTTTCACGTACCTATGACACCCAGAGCAAGTTAAACAACGAATAAATTCACATATACATATGACACTTAGACCTGGAATAACAATTTGTGGATTACCTACTACACTAAGCGATTTTCCTTCGGAGCACTTGGGAATACATCAATTCAACAAATAATGAAATATACTTTTTTTTTATGTGAATGGTCGAACTGGTCTGGTCAAACGAGCAGACGGATTACCTGATGGTAAGCAATCAGCGCCGCCCATGGACACCCGCAACGGAGGAGT